CAAGTAACTCAGCTGAGCTTTGCAAACACTGGTATTTATCACCGTCCATGTAGGAGGATGCGACTCCTGCCGCACCATTTTCATTTAATCAACTTTACGGCCATAGTTTTATCCATCGCCGTCCAGCCTGAAACTTGAAGGCTGTAAAACCCATTTGTTTGGTCATAGACTCATTGTTTGTTAGTCGCCACCATAACCTCATGGATCATTCATATTATGTGCTTTTCCTACACTGTACAGAAGAGCGGCAGCCTTATCCCAGTCTCTCTGGAATGTCGTCCAAACCAGAGTAGCTCTCTGTCTCTCTCTCTAAAAGCAGAGTTGCTCTCGCTCTCCCTCTCTCTCTCTCTCTACACCCCAAAACAAAATTGCCCATAAAACAAGTCAGACAAGAAAACCCACACTTCAATGGCGTCTTCCACTTCGTCAGTCCTCTCTCCACCATTTTCCCCCATTTTCCCTTGTTCTCAGATTTCTCGGGGACCATTTAACCGAATTCTTCCTCTTTCTGCGACGCCTATCAAACCCATCTCTGGTTTTCGCTCCAAACCACGTCTGAAAAGTCTTAAATATCCTTCTGTAAATGCTTTTGCCCTTGATTTTTCTGGGTCTTTCTTTGAAGGAGGAGGGGACGATGAGAGCAATGATCCCTTGAGTGCAGGCACTGCTACTGAAGAGAGAGAGGAGCCTCAATGTCCTCCTGGACTTCGACAATATGAGACTATGGCGGTCTTGAGGCCCGATATGACTGAAGAACAGAGACTGGCTTTAACCCAAAGATATGAGGAGGTTAGTTTTTTGTTGTTAAGTCTCTCTCTTAGTCTATGGGGGTCTCAGGGTTTTGATTATATGGTTTGGTTCCTCGTAAATGTTATTGCAATTTTGGAAATGTGGATGCTTTGGATCGGTGCATGACTTCCATCTGAGCATCAACTCGTTGAAATCGAACAATGTTCAGTTATCAGACATTTTTCTCAGTTCTTTTATTATTCTACATTTATTCGTTTCACCTTTTGGTATCTGTATGTAATTGAATCTGTTTGTGATGTAATGTTTGCCAGTATTTTTCAATATTAGTTTATTACATGCAGTTGAATCTGCTTTTTCTTTCTTTTCATGTTCTGCTCAAAGTTGCTTGTTCATGATAAAATGCACATTGGTTAGAAAGTCTTTTCTATGCTATGAATATTAATGGTGCTATACCCAAATCTCGGAATGACCCTTCATAGCGCGGAATGGCAGATTAGGATTTGTGTAGCCAACCCCAAATAGTTGAGATAGTGCTCAAATGATAATGATGATAATGATGTTAGTGAAGTCTGTGCATGTAGGACTTTTGTTGTACCCTTTTACTTTATTGCATTCAAGATTAGGATTTGTTTAATGGGCTAATTTCTCGCTTTTGCTTATTTTACTTTTCGGTATTGGATGGATATAGGACTATATCTTTGCCAAGAGAATAATCTTGAAGAGAGGGAAGGTATGGGAATGAATTATTTGCAAAAATAGCTGAGTAGCAAGTATCAAGGTTTCCTTTGGTTACCTATTATTTGGTTATCATTCACGTGACTGCACACTGCAACATGGAGTACATTCATGGAAGTGGATACTTCCTCTGTATATACTTTGATTTATTCCAACCAAAAAGTCCAAGCTCGTTGAGAGTAAGGCTCTCTAAATTTTTTTACTTATTTTTGACAATAGATAGCAGTGGAATCCATTAAGTAACATTGCGGCTCCTCCACCTTGACCACCCAGGACAAGACCTCATTCCTTGAAGCTCTCTATATTTCTTTCACGTATTTTGTCTCTCAGTGATTCAAAAAGGAGCATGGCAGTTGAGAGAGTGTGGTATATTGAGCAACTATACCTTATTACAGTATTCCAATCCAACACGCGATAGCATATATTAACTCCTTTCAAGATCTTTTGCGAAGATCAAGAAAGAAAATGATGATTCACAGACTTGGTTTTTATATCTTTTTAAAGCATTTAGTATCTCTGAGAACTCCTTAGAACTCCTTTTTTTCTTTCATTGGCCAGTAACTGCCTTAGTATGTATCTACAGCTTATGTAGAATAGATAAGGGGATTTTTCTATTGCCATAATCTTGAAAGGCTTGAAATCTTTCTAAAATTACGTTGTAGGGTCAGATCTATAATTTAGAGACTAAAATTCAGCGAAATAAAATCTTGTTAATTGGATACAAAATGAGAAAGCTAGTCAAAAGACATGGCAAAGGCATTGAAATGAATTTCAATGAATTCTCCCTTCCTAAAGACCGTAGTACAAACTGGCCAAATATTTCCACTTGTTAGGTTTCCTGTCACAGAAGGGACAATTTGATTGTGGATTCTCATGGAATTAAACAAATTTTGCCACTTTTTGGGTTGCTATAACAACATTTCTTCCTGACATTGGGTTAGTAAAATTATGAAGAATGGTGAAAATAAAAATAAATGAGATAATAGAAACAGGGGGGCAAAGTGAGAATCAATGTAGTAAAATATGGGAAAATATTTAAATATTATTCAGAGGCCAATCTCAGGTCTACAACCATTTTTCAGATTGAAGAGTCTAGGAGTGAGATATGATATCTTTGGAAAAAAACATAGAGAATATGCACACGACTAAGAGGATATGGGTGATGAGTATGATTTAAAAACTGAGGATATGTGCGAGTGAGTATATATGTGGGTAGGCTGTCTCAAGTAGAATAAAAGGTTTAAACATGAAACATTTAAGAAGTTTGATCAAAGTACAAGATTTGATGTTGCCCCATAAAGAAAGGTATAGCACACAAGGCCACCGCCTTGACATCCTTCGTTCAGATCTTAGCTTACCTCCCAAAGATACACTGGATGTTTCCCTGTGGCACAATTGTGTAAATATGTGATCTTGATCCTCTAGAAATTTGTTTCCTGGAGTAAAATTCCTCTATTAAATATTCTCTTAGTTTAATATTCAACAGTATAATTTTGCTTCTGCTGTGTATCTATTCTCTTAAGAACAAAATACAAACTGTTTATAGAAGTGTTGGTTTAGATATTCTATTCTGAAATAGTTCCTGTTTAAAGTTATGCCTGGTGGTGTACCTTTTAGGAGAAAAGGAAAAAATATTATTGAAATAGTCAAACTAACTTAAACAAGTGGTCTCTAAAAAGATTGAAAAATTTACGTACGGACTGGGGAAAAAATGTGGTATTACCGCATGGTCTGAATTTTTGGCCATATTACTTTGGAGTCCAACTTTTTTGAGTTTTTTATTCCTAGTTTACCCCTAGTTCGTAACGTATACTTTTGAACCGCCCAAAGCACATAAAAATTGATGTATTTGGCAGTTCGAAAGTCTTAACTTTCCTACTGCCTAAAACATGCGTTTGAGCTGTTAAAAAGCCCAACTTTCAAACTGCCCAAAACACCAAATAACTAATGTATTCGGGCTGTTTGAAAGTTGGACTTTCAAACCACTGAACACTTAGCGCCCGCTCCCCCCCCCTCCCCCTCTTCTTTTTATTATTATTATTATTATTAGGTTTTTTGGTGTTTGGTGAAGTGTGAAAGTTGGCCATTAGAACCTCCTAAACATATATTTAAGGTATCTTGAAAGTCCATCAAAATACATCAAACTTTTTCATGCTTTAGTGATTTGAATTTTACACTTTTGAATTGAGGGTAAAATGAAATAAAAAACTTAGAAAAACATGACTTCAAGGTAATATGGCCAAAATTTAGATCATGCCGTAATATCGCATCTTTTCCCTTTAACTGACGTAAAAATTTCTCGAAAGATTATTTCGTCAACAAATTTAACAACAAAGTGGTTACTTTAAAATATTATTTGACTCATGTAGTCAAATCAACCAATTTATGAACAAATTGGTTATTTTTAAAAGACTATGTCATGCAAGTACTCCTGAGCCATTTTGCTTGAAAATGCCATAATGCCCCTGTTCTGGGGTTGTAATCTTGAACAAGCAGGGGTTTTGTTAATTTTGCCCATGACACAAGTGGAGCAAAATTACCAGAATACCTCCTCCTATTTCAGGTCCAAAACCAGAGTCCGGAACAAAAACTTTTAATGAAAAAACATGTTCCTGGTTTGGACCCAAACTAAGTGGGATTAGCTTCATCATTCTCATTTGGCTTGGTCCACTAAAGTTGTGCCAAATTCCCCTGCGTGCTTCCAAAAAAGAACAATATTCTTAATGCAAAAAAAAGAAAAAATGTACCAAGTTTGGAAGTCTGGAAAAGCAGGGGTATTTACATCATTCAACTTGGGCTACTTGTGTAGGGCTTGAAGGCTTAGCTCGATATATGGCCCCATCATAGGGCCCATCGGGCTGGGCTTAAGGCTTAGCAATAATGCGTGTTGGACTGGACCTAGGCCTTAATTTAAGGCCCGTCGAGCATTATTTTATGCTATCTTTGGGCCCATTCTTTGGGCTCATTGGGCCAGGCGGGGCCTGAATTTAAGCCCCATCAGCTTGTCAAGCTGGGTGGCTTGGTCCTAGCTTGGCCAGCGTGGGGCCAACCAAACTATCCCTACATGATTCCAAACCCAGAACAGGGGCATCAGGGGGGCATTTTGTGTATCTTTTAACATAATAGTTTTAGTGCTACTTGAGTGAAATGTTTTCTTTATTTTAAACGACCATTCTGTTGATTTGACCGCCTCAATGATTATTTTGGAGGTGGTTTGACAATTTAATAATATTTTTCCAAAAAACCTAAGGAAAACATCATTTAAGATCTCAAATTATCTTATGACATCATAAGATCCCATTTACCATGTTAAGTTTACTTTGTAAGTTTCATTTCATAAAGGTACCTCCTCAAAATTTTTTAAAAAAATTCCCAAATTTCTCTTGTTTAGGGTTGGGAACCTGAAAAATCAGGGGTATTTTGGGAAGTTGGCCCACTTAAGTGGCTTGAGCAGAATTACAAAAATACCCCTGGTTATTCAAGTTTGAAAAATAGAAATGCAAAATGCAAAATGAAAAATGCTTCTGGCTCCATATTGCTTACCCTGAACAAGTAGGAGTATTTTGGCCGTTTGGTTGTTCGATTTTCTTAACCCTAAACAAATTGGGGTATTTTATACTATCTTGAACCACTTAGGCGAGTAAAATTACCAAAATGCCCATACTTTTGGAGGGTTCGCAACCCTAAACAGTGGTCATTTGGGAAATTTTAACATTGTTTGGGGGAGTTGCCTTTACAAAATGGAACTTAACAAGTAAACCTTGCAATGACAAATGAGATCATTTGAGCCCTTTAATGATTAAGAAATTTATCAAATTACCTACTAGAGATGAACAATTGAACACTTAATTCCAAAATGCCCATGAAAAAACACATGGTCTTAACTTGGAATAGTTGCAATTGGACAAGATGTTAAATACTTAATCTCTTATTGGTATTTTGACAAATTTCCCTTAATGATTTTGTAGGATAATTTGAGCCCTTCAACTAGCATCATCATCATCATCATCGTCAGAGCCATATTTCAATTATTGGGTTCAACTACATAATCCTGTTCCACCATTCTGCTCTATCAAGCGCCATACCCTCAGTAAGACCATAAGTCCCAATATATGTTATTACTACTTCCATCCATGCCCTATTGGGCCTTCCCCCTGTCTATTTAGAGCCTTCCGCTTCAACCAAATTGCACCTCCTAACCGGTGTTGTACTGGGTCTGTGCTGCACATGGCCAACCCACCGAAGTTCATTTTCTCTCATCTTGTTGCTAATTGGAGCCACTCCTAAATTCTCTCGAATATATT